TATAGCACAAACCAATGCCCAAAATGCCAACATAGACTGAAGAGGATCTCCTGGAGAATAAGAGCAAAACACTTGAAACCATGGATGCAGACATGTGCTATCACTGTGGTTCAAAGGACTATTGGTCCTGTGTGCTTCCCTAAAGGTTGTAGCTAAATATCATTCTCGTCGTAAGAAGTTTGTATCAAACTTTGTGCAAGTGGATAAACTGGAGAGTAGCAAGATGGAGGTTTCTGACTTTCAGGAGGCTATCACCTTATGGAAGATTAGAATCTTAGACATAAACTATTTTTAATTGAAATTTGGAATAATGGGGCCAAATTCCACCTAGTGGTCGAGACCCCCTTGTTTTTGGTTTAATTTTGCACAATTTTCCTTTATGTTTGGATTATTTGTTGGTGATTTGTTTTTGGATATTAATTTTTTAATTAATGACCACCCTTGAATACTTAAATTATTTTGAATGGATATTTGTTGTAAGAACTTTTATGCATGTGACTGATTCAAATTAATTTTTATTTTTTGGTATGACTAGTGGGAAAGTTAGTTGTCTGGCAGTTAGTGCAACCACACACACCGTTTTGTGTGAACACATCTATTTCACTAACTTCATACCTAAGAATGCACTTCTGACAACCCTTTCAGGATCATCCAACCTGATTGAAGTATACGGTAAGGCACGTATAATGTTGTCCAATGGTACAATCTTGACCATTAAAGAGGCACTCTATTCTCCACGTTCCGAAAGAACGTTGTTGAGTTTCAAGGACATTAAAGATAATAATTACCACGTTGAAACCTATGTAGAAAACAGAGTTGAATTTCTATGCATCACTTTCCATGAATATGGCCAGAAGCGTATTTTAGAGAAAATGGAGCATATCTCGAGTTGTCTGTATACTACGACCATACGCCCTATAGAGAGCCACTATGTGGTTGGCCCTATCTCTAGGACCGCACACAAATTTACACTTTGGCATGATCGTTTGGGATACCCTGAACGAATAGCGATGCGTCGTATCCTCAAATCATTAGATGAGAATACACTAAGCCGAAGTTTAGGGTTCGATTCAAGGAATCACGTGTCAAACCTGCTTCATGGAAAATCTTATTATTAAGCCTTTTTATGACAAGAATTGTTCGAATCTTTATATTTTTTCTACAAAGGATTCAAAGGGACATTTGTGGGCCAATTCACCTTCCCTACAGACCATTTAGATATTTTATGGTTTTATTTACGCTTCCACACGTTGGTCACACATGTGCTTGTTGTCCATAAGGAACGTTACATTCTTCAAACTGTTGGCTCAAGTTATCAAGCTCAGGGCTCACCACTCTGATTATCTGATCAAATCTATTCGATTGGATAATGCTAGAGAATTCACATCTAAAACTTTTAATGACTATTGCATGTCAATTGAGGTTGAAGTTGAACATCTAGTACCCCATGTTCACACCCAGAACAACATAGTAGAGGCATTCATTAAGTGCTTACAAATGGTTACTCGATCGTTGGTCATACGTACCAAGCTCCTGATCCCTGCTTGGGGCCATGCAATATTGTATACAGCCATGTTGGTCCGCCTAAAGCCTATTGCTACACAACCATATAAGGCCATTCAGTTGGTTACCAGATACGAACCCGACATATCGTATCTGCGCATTTTTAGTTGTGCAGTCTATGTGCCTATTTTGTCGCCCTTATGTATCATCGAATGATGGAAATTTATGTCGGATATGATTCTCCTTCGATCATTCATTACTTAGAACCTTTGATAGGCTATCTGTTTACAGCTCGTTTCGCGGATTGTCACTTCTATGAGATAATCTTCTAGTCGTAAGGGGGAGATAAGAGCGTTAACGTTCCTGATGAACGACACGAATTATTGTGGACGACTCCTACTTTGTCTGATCTAGATTCCCGCACAACTCAGTCTAAAACTGAAATGCATCGCATATTAATGAATGATCGAATTATCGTTAACGTTCTTGTCACCGATCTAGCGCGAGTGACAAGATCACATATTCTAGTTGCTAATGTGCCTGCAAAGATGGATGTACCAAATGTACGATGGAATTCCCTCTTGGATGCCTAGGATGCCACTTTGGCTGATCCACGTACATTAGCGAAGCCAATCATCAGCCCTTACACAAAAGCATGACAGACCATTTAGTTCAAAGGGTTCATATCCCTGGAAAAGGAAACCCACGACACATGCTTCTGAAGAGCATATCGTGAATCCGACTATTGCCTACTCATTCTATCCAACTCATGAGGAAATTATAGATTACGGAATTGTCCTTGAAGAGACGAATCCACCTCTCATAATCAAGAGATTTCGGTCCATTATACTAGCTTGGATGATGTTTGGTGTAAAAATGAAATGATCATCAATGATGCAGTAGCTACTGAGATCATGTTGAGCAATGACATTGAACCCTGTTTCGTTAATGATTGTCAACGTAGAACTAATTGGTTAAACTGAAACAAGCAATCTAAGTTGAACTCGATTCGCTTACGAAACGTAAGGTGTTTGGATCTGTAACTTATACTCTTCCACATGTGAAGCTCGTTGGCTACTGGGTTTTCGGTTAAAAGCGTAATAAGAAGAGTGAAAATGTGCATTACAAAGCTTGTCTTGGTGCACAAGGTTTCTCACAACGCCCCAAGATTAACTATGACAAAACTTATTCAACAATGAGTTATGCCCTTGCGTGTTCATTAAGAAATCACATTTCGGTTTTGCAATCGTTGCAATATATGTTTATGGCATGAACTTAATCGGAACTCCTGTAGAGCTCGAGAGAACTGCTGTGGTCCTAAAGTTGGAATTTGAGATGAAAGATCTAGGAAATACTCGATACTGTCTCATTCTCGAGATAAATCATCTTTAGGATGGAATCTTAGTACATTAATCAAACTACTCCCATAAGATGTTGTGCTGTTTTAACGAGGATAAAGCTAAGCCTTCGAGTACTCCTATGGTCATTCAATCGCTAGATGCAAAACAAGATTCATTCCGTCCAAATGAGGATGCTGAAGAGATTTTGGAGCTAGAAGTTTCTTATCTAAGTGCGATAGGCGCTTTATTGTACTTAGCTCAATGCACTAGACCTGACATTTCCTTCGCTATTAATATTTTGGCAAGATACAATAATGCACCAACACACAGACACTGGACTGGTGTTAAAGACATCTTTTGTTACCTTAAGGGTACCACAAATATGAGCTTGTTCTATCCCTACGGATCCTCGAGTGATGCCGCACCCTTCTTATCTCAAGTGGATTTTTTAAGACAACGCAGCATCCATCGAATAACTTAAGAAGGGTTACATTCAAGGAGACAACACCAAGCACATTGTGCCAAAGTTCTTATTCTCACATTAACAACAAGAGCATCAGAAGATTGAAGTCACGTAAATCCGTTCACAAGACAATCTGGCCGACCTTTTCACCAAATCGCTACTGAAGGTGACGTTTTAGAAGCTTGTTTAAGGAATAGGTATGCGTAAACTTTCTGAGTTGTAGCATTGTTAGTTCTCTTTGGAATTATGTCAAACTCAGGGGGAGTATCCTGAAGTATACTTGCTTGATCTTAATGTACTTTTTTCCCTACAATTAGTAGCATTTTTCCCACTGGGTTTTTGCTACCTAACAAGGTTTTGACGAGGCACCCACCTTGGGTTGATCATATCTTTGATGATGTCTCGTAGACGCTTCATTTGACTTTGTATTACTCAAACATTTTTCCTTAGCCTATGGATTTTGTCTCTACTTGGGTTTTACCATAGTCATTGGGTTTTTTGTGAGACTTAGTTCTTTATGCAAGTTCCTACTTTACTTTGAGACTAGCGTGTTCCCAAAATCAGTGTCGACGAGTCGACTTCCTCAACTCTACATGATGCTGAATCTACTTGAGTATTTACACACTCTAGGGGGAGTGTTATAAATTTCTTATTTAAGTGTGATTGTGTAAATACTAGATTAGATTTTATTCTAGTTATTCTTCCCTATTAGGACTTGTATTCCTTGAACGAGAAGGATTTTTTCCCTCCCTTATTACTATAAATAAAGGCACTGTGTATGGGGAATAACACATCCTCTACACAACCCTACAAACACATCTCTCTATTCTCTCTTTGTGCTGCCGATCCTCTATCTCCCTGTCAGATAAAATAGACCACAACATTCACCATCTTTTATTCGTTTTGAGAAAAAAAACTTATTTGTTTTGAGAAGAAAACTTATTATGTGTTTACTCCCACATGCGGGATTACAAAATATGTAGCTTTATAATTCATATTCAACACCTCAAAATCGAAAATTTGATTGATTATAAGATAATTAACTTCCTGGATTCATGCCTTCTCTCTCCTAGTTTTGACTTCCTCAATTCATAATGACTTCCCTTATATTCCCAATGAGTAGACAAGTCATTAGTTTTCTTCCTATGAAATTAGCATATGCCCCAACTTTGTGTGTGAAAATACTTTTTATTTTTATTTTAAAATGGGAAGGAGAAAGGGAGAGAAAAAGGAATGTGGATTAGAGAGAGAAGTTTTCCTTTAGCCTTTTCTTTTTTTATATTTTATTTTTCAAAATTAGAGGATGTTAGGATCATCTTTGGGCAAGGCTTTAAAAAAAATTGTAAAATTTAGTTTGTGTGAATTTACTTTATTGTTCTTGATTTTGTTTGTTGTAGAAAACAAAATTATCTTTTTACCCTCTTTTGGTTTAGAAAAAGGGTTTTATTAATGTAGTTTTAGATAATGAGAAATTTGTTGAAATGCTGAACATACAAATTTCAATTGTTGAAATGGTCACTTTTTATGTCATCAATGTTTGATCAATATATTGTCAGTTTCTAATTTTGACCATTTCAACAAATTTTGTTTTTTGTTTTTTGAACAAATGATATTCTCTACACAAAAGTAGAGAAGTGAGCCACTGGTAAGTGGCAAACGGTGGTGAAGAGGAGTGTTGCTTTTGCACCATGGTGTAGATTCGAACTTCATCAGCTCTCTAATTTAACATCTAATTTAACAAATTTATCGTTTGACAAATAAAAAATAAACAGTAAAAGAGAACCGAGCCACTGAGGTCATGCCCTCACTTAATCAACCATGATCATTGATTGAGATTTGAGAGGAGGCAAAGCCATCGGACAAGTGGTGGCAGCGGCAGTGGTGACAGATCTGCCTCGATTGAGACACTACCAGGACAAATGAACAAAAAGGCGAAAACGACCAAAACCAGCAGAAGAAAGCAGGGAAAAAATAGAAGCAGCTAGATAGATGCGATGAATTATGGAGCAACTTTCACCCTTCTTCTAATCCTTTCAATTTCCTTTCCTTCCAGAATCATGATGCATGGAGGGCAATAAACTGAAAGCACATAAATATCCTCCGTTATCACAAACTTCCACCGAAGATAGTACAAGAGTTTGGAATCCATTACGTGACTGCTCACGAGCACGTTGCTTGCTGGCCGCTGCCTCAAATTTGGCCGCTCATGCTGATGCAATTCCAAAACACCCATGTGGGGGCATGAGATTGGTGCGACTCCGGTTTTCTTTGTTAGGCTGCAAATCAGGATAAGAAAATATGCCCTATCACTGTTTGTATATAAGCATTGGACTATCTCTTGTCACGTGAGTTGCATGATGAGTCATGTGTCATGTGTCATGTGATGAGAGCGGTAGACGCATGGTCATATATAACTGGTGATGCCCAATAATGTCTCAAATACAACTAGTAAAGCACAGATTAATCAAATTTGTGTTTCATAAAGAGAAAATTTTCTACATATTCAATTGGAACATGCAAAATTTAATTGCAGAATTCTTCGTAGAAGAATACAGCAATCTTGGACCATTTCACAAGAAAAAACACAACCAGAGAATCATGCTATTATCTCAATGGCAACTTTAAACAATGAATCCTTCACAGGAAACCAACAATACAGAAAATCAGTCAGAAGTTAGCATTTGTATCTACTTTCGGTGCACACAGATCATGTTTTATACATCTACAAGACTTCAGAAAACAATGTTTTATTTGGCTATACGTGTGTCCAGCTATCTGATTTGGGCTTCGGCACAACAAATTGCTGTTTTTACAAATGGTCAACAGCAATATCCTCACTTACCCTCTGGAACTTCAAATTCTAGTCTTAAATGCTCAATGTTTCCTCTTCGACTACTTTAAAATTTACTTATAAAAAACCCAAATGCTAAATAGCAATAGCAGCGTCACTTATATTACTAGGATTGTAAGATTGTAAACATATTTGGCACTCCTTAACAGATGATAATATGCAGCACAAATGATTTACTGTTTCACCTTATATACTGCAACAGCAAGTGCATGAAGCACTCAACCCTTTAAATGACAATGGGGATGGATAGGGCGAACCACGGTGGAAGATATGGATCATGCACTCAGTGCTAGCCTACGCGTTTGGAGATTTGTCTTTGTAAGGAACTTAGCAGTATGCAAATGGTCTGACCTAATAATTTTGCTACCTGCAGTAACCTTTTCTAGATCTAAACTTACACATTCCTCCCACACTCCAGACCAAAACATAAAATAAAATTCCTCCCACACTATCCCTATCCCAGTAAATCTCTTTACGCAAATGACCAAAAGAGGCCATTCTCTGTGGAATGAGAATTTTGAAATTACTCTAAATCAGTTAATAAAGACCTCTGAGCTAAAAAAAATGACTGTACAAAGAAACCAACTTTCAGAAAGGAAAGATCACAGTACCTTCATGATTCGGCAGAGCATTAATCTGGAAGACTTCAAGTCATCTGCACTGTTCTTCGTCAGAAAGACACTGGGTCACATTCTTCATCAACTCGGAGCAACCATTACCATTCCCAACACAATCTGCACTCTCGAGGTGGCAGACATTCTTTCACATAAATCAAATTTCTCTAAATTTTCTTGTATTTCAAAATTTTGAATTTAGAGGAAAGCACAATGTGCGATGCAGGTCACTTCATTTCTGGATATCATTCAAAAATGTCACGTCATTCCATCAAACCAAAGCAGGATTCATAGGAATTCTATCTAGAGGCCACTGAGAAGCTTGTAAAGACCATGAAGCATAAACTTAAAGAAATAGCATCAAAGAAACCAGTCTCGAATAGGTGAAAGGTACCTTAATTTTTCACAAAGGTAAAATGCAAACCAAAAGGCAACAAATGAAAACTATTGCTACACCAAGCACAGCATCCTGCCAAAACATTACAGCAAAAGAAAGGACTAATAAGATCTTACATAAGTACACAGAAGACAAGATTACCTTTCATTTCCATTCAAAACAGTTACAAATGCAGTATCTGTTTGTCAAAATATCACATATCTGCATTCATTAACTATCACAAAGGGTTTCAATCAGCAGACACAGCACTGCTAAAGGATTAACTATTGCTACAAGTCTTGTCTGAGATCTTCTCTTTATTTTCATTTAATGAACCATTATTGCCTCCGGTTATTATGCTTGTCATCTTAAAACAGGATACCATGTCTTGGAGCCAACAAATGAAATGTTTATGCAGCACTGTACTATCTACAACCTGCTATTCTGAACAGATCATTTGTTCGTACTGAATATAAGAATATGCTAATTGCATTAATTTCTTAGTATTTGTTCAAAGAAACATGACAAATGTTACAGAACAATTAAATTAATGGATAGAACAATCGAAAATTGATTACACAAGCTTTATCGCAATCAACAAGACAATCAGTTATTTCCATTAACATTCTGACCAAAAAATTGTGTAAGTACATAAGTACAATAATAAACTGAACAATAATAAACTGAACCTACCTATAAAGATAAAAATAAACACTACAACCTCCAAATAATCAAATTCTTATCACTCTAGTTCATCAAGTTTGATCTCACGTTGTTCGCCGGAAGAAAGGACTTTCACACTCACCATACCCCTTTGCCACTCCGAATCTCCCACCAATATCAGCCTGTTAGCATTTATTCGTGATGCACGCTTGAATACCCTGCCATAGAAAAAATCAAACCATTGAATGATAAAATATTATAAATACAGTGATTGGTATGGAAATCTGCAAGCACCTATAAGAGGGCAGGAAATACCATTTAAGCGGTTTGTTCTCCAAGACTAAATCAACACTTTGACCTTTTCCCCTGAGTATGGTGGCAACTGTTGCAGCTGCTCCTTGGAGTCCAGGATCAAGAGCACACACAATGTTCTCTACTTGCAGGCTGAGTTCCGGTAGAAGACCCTTCTCCTTAAGCAACTATAATCCACACACAAAAATATCAAACAAATGACAAACAAAACAAAAATGAGATGAGAAATAAAAAAATGAAGCCAAGAATGAAGAATATTTAAATATTGGGAGCATTATCCAATACATACACCATTTTAAAGTAGTTTAAGGAAAAAAAAACTCTTCATAAAGCATAGGATATATATAAGTATATAGTACATAAGTTTTGACTTACTTCCACTATAACAGCATCACCAAACCCAAATCCACAAGCAGAAATGTCATCACCACCAAAAGTAGAAAGCAAGCGGTCATATCGCCCACCACCACAAATGGCTCGTAACTTTCCTCCTCTATCAAAACCCTGAAAATAAAATTGATCTGTCAGGGACTGTCTTTATTAATGACGAAGTAGAAGCAACTTTATATACATACAAGGGAGATCTAATCATTGTAATTGAGTATTCATGCATAGACATAATCAGTTTGCCATTTGGCTGCTTATTTTTTCTGTCATCATCACAAAAGTTTGTTCTTACGCATAGGCAGAATAAGGAAGACTTTCCAGTATGTTTTGCATCTGAAATGGGACAAGTTTTCACATGTCCCACGTCAGTTGGATCATAAGTAAAGACACTATCGCAAACAACTTTTCACTTACAGCCAACAGAACTCCCAAATATTCTAGTGTAGTATTTAACAAATGCTACTAACTTTAGCTCACAGGTCAGTTAAATGCATTTCACTGCTGTAAAGTTTATAATTGTATAAACTGGCAGTATGATAACATCCACAAACTACATCCTCACCGCAGACTGATGCCTAAAATAGATGTGCAGTACAATATATGATCCCCAGGTCATTATTCACACACGAAAAGATAATACCACACTATAAAGGAATATCATCAGTTACTAGGAGCAATAAACAACTAAAGAAAATGGAAAAGATGGTAGAACTCAACTCATTCTACGAGCATGACTAATATCTGCAATGTCAAAATTGTGGGAGGGAAAACATGGAAATCCTAACCTCAAAGACAATACCAGTGTAGTAGGCAAGGCCACGAACAATAGAAGCATCAAACTGAATCCATTCAGAGTAACCAAATTTGTCAGCAAGAGAGAATAGTTGTTTCAGATCAGCAACTGCTTCCCCTGCTCCTCCAAGTATCTCTACATAATAAAAACATGGAACGTATATTAATAATTGTCCCATCTACTACCAAAAAGTATTCAACTTTTTTTTTCTGGTCACACAATAAATAGAACCTTGGAAGCTCCACTCACAAACGATTGCCAAAAATAACTTCCCCAACAGCTTTTTGAAATAGTTATACAGTTCGATTTATTGTGGCCACAATTCATATTAAATTAAATTTGAACCCACTGCCTCTCACTATCCCTTGCCACTTTCAAGTCTCAACATTCTTTCTCGTCTCTCTAATCAACGGGTAACTGCTAACTCTTGATTTCTTCATCACCATTCCCCAATAATTGTCAATTTATCTCTCTGTTCATTTCTTACAGAGGTACACCTTGAATAATTTCCTTTTTGTGATCTATTGGTGTTTATCCACCTGTACTTAAGATTCAAAAGCTTAGCAAAGTCTTTATCATTTTCAATATCTACGGTACTATGCATTATCTTGTCACCTTCACTAATGTTCCTTGTGTTAGGATTTTGGCTCGTCAAGTTTGTTTAGGATTGTATTAGGGAAATTAAAGGTGTACCGATTCTTCTCCTGAAAGGACTAGGAAAGAATCAAAGTTTCCTTGTACAATTAGATTAGGGATCCTAGAAGTCTAATTGGAATAGGTAAGAAAGTGTACTTTCCTATTCCATATAGAATAGGAAACTTAATCAGAAATAGGCATGTAAATCACACCTTATACATATCTATAGGGTGCGGCAAGGCCAGGGAAAGTGTGAGAAAAAGCCAGAGACAGCCAAGGATGATTAGTTCTAGGGTTTTGCAAAAGTACTGTAACCTTATTATTAATCAAAGAAGCCGGGTTTCTCAACCAGGGAAATGACAACTGCACGTAGGCAAAAGTTCTGCCGAACTTATTCTTTAATTTGCTAACTTTAGTCTATTACCATACACATCAAAGAGAAAAAAAATCCAGAGAGAGTAGGTTACAACACCTTGACCATATAGAGTTCTTGTATTAAGACACATTTAAACTAAAGAAAGAAGTTTCGAGCTGTTAAAACTTACCATTTTAACAAACAAACATCTCACTTGCTAGTGATATAAAATCATTTGTACTAAAGTCCACTGATCCTAAGGAAAGAACTGATTAATCATTTCGGTATACCTCATGTAACATTCATCGCTGTGAAAAAAAACCAACCACCATATAGAACAGCATAAATTTGCAGAACATTATTTTGATTATTTCAAAACAAGTACTACTTACCAAAGGTTCTCACCATAAAGTCTAATAATCTACTCTCAAACTGACAAATGCTGTCATTTTAAAGACGTACTACACAATAGTAATCTTTAATCAATTGGAAAACTGCCTTTATGGAGCATGAAAGCTTTTGATCTGCAGGGGGGTGAGCTGTGCAGGAAACCAAAATATCTAATACCCTCTTACAAGTACAGATAAGCAAACAGCTGGATATGTTTTGTGCATGCTGATCAGGGAAACATACGATACATTTTCACGTCTTGGAGAGGGGGAAAGACGATTAATTTTTACCTTTTATAGCCAAAAACTTATATTTAAATACTTTCTGAATCAGTATTGATAAGACCAACCTTCCAGCTTTGTCAATGACTTTATGGAAAGAACTTGCAATAACTGTTCAATAGCCTCTTCAGATACACCAGCAGATTTCAACTCATTTTTTATATCATCCACTGGAATCTTCTCTATCTGTTTACAATTCAAATCCAGAAAGGATTAGAAACTTGTGACAAAAAAAACTATATCTTTTTGTTAGTGTATATAGATATGCTAGACATAAGATAATGGAGAAAATATTGAACAAAAAAATATTGTATTTATTTTAATATCAGACTAAGAGCACGACTAGAATCTAGATACCATATGCATACAAAGTTCAGGGACTCTAACCGTAACAGGCACATGTAGATACATATATATGCACATACAAAAGAAAATATAAAAGCAGAACATCATACTGCAACTATTGCATGTTAAATGATCTTAAATAAATCAACATGAACTAGCAACTAACATACTTTACAGTAAAATTATTAGCAAAAATTTGAAGAAAGAACAACTTTACAAAATATAAAAAATTATCTGATTTATTTTCTCAATAATATATAATCAAACAAAAATAGAATGTCATAATGGCTTTCACATCAAAATTATTTGAAAAGAATAATATGGTAGAAAACAAGAACATAATTAGCTGCAACCCAAAAACTTGCAACCTTTCAAAATTTACCTTGTCTATGATGATGCAAACTTTGCCAAATAAAGCTTCGGGTATGGAATAACGCCTCAATACTTCTTGTAAAACCTGTAAGTAGAAAAGTCAGGCTAGTAGTCATAATTTAAAATAAATAATTATATACTACAAAATGACTTGAAAACTGATTTCAACGGCACAAACAGTAGGAAAGCTTTTCTAAACTAATTTGGGATGTATCAGTTTCTTTTTTTGATAGGCAACTTGAAAATCATTTGGCCATACAATGCCTCTGGAGACAGAAATCCCACAGTCAGACAAACAATATTAGAACGACAAAAATTTGATGAAGACCTGTGAATCTAACAGTCTAAGTTCCTGCAAGAAAAAACCACCCGCACCTTACGACTAGAAACCTTGAATCCAACATCTGATGCTGTAATTCCTACTCGCTTGAAGAAAGTGACAATTGAAGAAATAAGTTCTGCTTCAGCCTAGCACATGAAGAGAAACAAAACAAGTAAAACCTGAGCTTGTCAGGGAATTGTATATAACATAGTTAAACAAATACAACAATGTGACGTACATTATGAGATTTCAATCAATGCAAGAGTGTGAGGCATCACAAAAAATTCATAATCATATAACCAATCCAGCAGAATCAGCTCCATACCGTAACCTCAGGTACACCAATAACATCCATATTCCACTGGTAATGCTCCCGACGCCGCCCCCTTGTCATCCTCTCATACCGCCAACACTGCCCAATGGCAAACCATTTCAACGGAAGGGATAGAGATTTTCTGGACAGAAAAAAAACACGAGGATCAAAATTTCCGGCTTCCACACCTGGATATAAAAAAGATCGAAGAGTAAATAATAATTATATATATACACATTAAACACATATACAACCAAGTCTAAATAGCAAAGTAACATGCTCAGCAGAATCAGAACTCAGTACCCTTTCTGTATCACCAGCCTTGCCAAAGAAGGAGTGAGCTCCGGCCTCAGCGCAACGCGACGATTTCCCCGATCTTCGAAGCAATACAGCTGCACAAATGCAGGTATATTAATATATGCATACATATATGTATGTATGTCAGTAGTCAATTCAAATTCAAGCAATGCAAGTAAAAGAAATGCTGAAAAAATCAGCATACCTGGTCTCGAATCTCCTCCCCTGCCTTTCTGATAAACAGAGCCTCCGTCTCAAGAACCGGATAGTCGACCTCTTCGAAGCCGAACAGCCGCGAGACCTCTCTGAAATTGTAGAAGAGCCAGTTGCGGAGGCGCATATCTTCGGGTGGGAAGTCCCTCGTGCCCTTGGGAGGGTTAACATCGATCTTCTGGAGGTCGTCGGTGGCCGGGGCCGGAGATAAAGCCCCGGCGCGACCACCGCCGGTGGAATTGGGGATGAGAGAAGAAGTGGCGGGGGAGAGAGAAGAGAGGGGTTTAGGGTTTGAAGAAATGGGGAGTTTGGGGAGGGGGAGTCGAAGAGCGCGAGTGAAGGGCTTGTGGAAGGTAAGGAGGGAAGACGAGACTGCAGAGAGCATGGCGATGGTGGTGAGGGCTCGATTGTCTTTTTGGTTACTGGGGTTTTTGGTTGTTTTGATAAAACCGCAGAGTTGAATGGTAAAGCGGGCGTGGGCTAGACGTTATACCAACGCATGGATTTGGCGGGGGCCCAAATTCAATACTGAAGGCCCAAAAGGTTTTAGTAGGATCCCAGACAAGCCATTATTTTTCAGAAAGACCTGGATCGTCAAGGATCAAGGACGAACTCCTCTTTAAGATACTTTTTGTTCAATTCAAGAAAATTCATGTTGAGATCGGAATCATTTGATGAAAGTATTGCAGGTTTATAAACCAACCATGAACATCACCTGTTGGAGATATGCCTTGAAAGTTAATCTTTGGAAGAAACATTTCAAGACCATGTCTAAATGTATGGTTAAGTCTAATATTTCAAAAGGAAAAAGTCACTTATTAGGACTATCTCAATGAACGATATATGTCAAAATAGTGAGTCCATGGACAATGGATCGATGGAAGAAGTAATCTAAAAATGTTAGATTATAGAGACCTTTTTCGCATAACTATAATGTCCAAAATGATCCTGGTCATAGGATTGTTAGAGGGACGTTGACAATACGAATAGACCAATACGTACTATGTCTGCTTCAATTTGAAGGATGGAAAGTCTTAAGCCATTTGTGTAGGGGCACTAAGACAAGTATGTAGGTGTTTGTTAAGGAAATGAATCCACTCAACACAATCAAATAAGAGTACTTGCATGGAGGTCTACTCACATGTCAAACAAGTAACACTTCTGGTTGGGATAATGTAACTTGCATGGAGGTCTACTCACATGTCAAGCAAGTAACACTTCTGGTTGGAATAATGTAAGTAGTCCCTTGACCTAAGACATCATAGTTGTCTGTCTAGTGGTTAGGTACTTGATCTTTGATGGTGTCAAAGGCATTTCATTTGAGTGTGTCCCGGTATTATTGGGGCTAAGCTGCCTAATCATGTAGACATGTGAATATTCAACAAGGAATCTATAATCCTCAGTACTAGAGAAAGAATACTCTAAGATATGATTGGGAAATCTTCGGCCAAAATATCAAGCAGATGGAAGATATTTCTATATGACTCAATTGAATCCTATAACATAGTAATCACATAAGGGTTTAACATAAAGTATCCATACCCTAGTAATGTGATTGAGAGTTTTGATTTAAAGAATGATCGAGTTACATTGTAATTCTAACTGAATAAGTTGTCCAACCAAAATCTACATTAGCTTGGGTAACCATGATATATGGTTAGATGTTGATCATGGCTTGTGGGTCCTTCTAGATGATTAAATAAGTAGTCATAAAAAAAGAACGAGAATTAAAAGTTTTAATTCACTAAGTGATTGTATAAGTATTAATCAATTGGATTGATACCAATCACTTCACCGCCTCGCCAATTAGAACCTAAAACGATTGTACACCGATACACTTGTGTGGTAAGATAACTAAAGGATGATGGAATTAATTAATTAGATTAATTAAGTTTTATGATTAATTAAAAAGTCTAAATAGATCATAGAAGCAATGAAAGATCTTTTTAGGCTTAAAGAAAAGTCTAGGTCCTCTCAAGCCTATTTGGGCCAAACCCATTGGACTTATATTCAAGCATAAGATGACTTGAAATGAGAAATGCCTAAGCCAAGCCAAACACTTAGTGAGGCCAGTCATAAGGTGAAGAGAGAGAGAGAGAGAGAGAGAGAAGAGAGAGAGAGAGAGAGAGAGAGAGAGAGAGAGAGAGAGAGAGAGAGAGAGAGAGAGAGAGAGAGAGAGAAAGAGTCAATAGTTGACTTACTTCTCTTACCTTTATAAAGGGAGTTTAGTGAAAAAGTTTCATTAGGGTTTTTGTGAGTCTTTCTTGCCTCAAAGAGAAAACAAACTCTCTTTTTCCTCTCTAGGAATGGGCAAAATACCCATGAGTTTGGATAACCATGATTATTCACCCATTTAAAGTTCACGGTTACGGTTATGGGTAACCATTTAGATGAACAAACAGTTATGGGTATAACCGTTTATCCATGAAATTTAAATGGGTGGTTATGGGTATTATCCGCGGTTATAATGGGTATCCATCGGTTATGGGTATTACCCGCGGTTATAACGGGTATCCATTTAATTTAATATATGTAAAATTTAAGATTAAAAAATTAAAAACCCTAAATTTTGAATCTCTCCGCCAAACTCAGAGTCTCAAACGCGTCGTCCCCCGCTCATCTCTCCTTCCTCGCTGCCCTCTCTCTCATCTTCCCCGCAAAGCATAAAAATAATAGAGAAATACTTATATAGAAAGATCAACTGGTCGGATAATGTGTCCAATGTGCTTGACATGCCCATCTGTTTGAATCGAAAACCAGAAAGATTATGCAGAGAGCAAATATGTAACTTTGTGGTCCAACTGTTGTGTATGCACATCAGACGATATTGCTTTGCATGGTTGCAAACTATTATTTTTGTAAGATTGCTTTTGTGCTTGGGTGTAATAGAAAAATATCGTTCGTAAACTATTATTTCAATTATTGGAATTGTATGAGGACTTAAATGATAAATGCATGCTAAAATGTATCTATAACGGTGTTTAATTGTCAGAAAATGAAAATTATGACAAATTTTTCTTTTGTAATTTTCAAGTTGTTAAAAAAAAACATGTAGAAGGGTGAAAAAAGAGGTAAATGTGTAAAAAAAGGATAAACGGGTTCAAAAATGGGTAAATGATTATGATTAAATGGGTAAACGGTTATGGCGGACGGATAACCGCAGTTATTTACCCATAACCATTTATGCAATTACACAATGGGTAAACGGTTTTACGGGTATGAACATAAACGGTTATGGGTAAATAACTGCGGTTATCCGTCCGCCATAACCGTTGCCCATCCCTATTCCTCCCACACAAAACTAGCCACCTTAGAGAGATAACTAATCATCTCTTCTCTATTTGGTCATCCACTCATCCATCTCATAACACTTGTGGGTGTAGATCTTTAGAGGTCTCCAACACTTGGAGACTTAAAGAGAACCAAAAGTACTAAATCCTTAAGGTGGAGAAAGCAAGGAGGGAGGCAAGGCTCAAGGAGTCTTGGAGGTGGTCCATCCTTGGTCTAGAATCTCGACCAAGAGGTATAACACTAATCGTTCACTTTGTTCTTCAATAAGTTTCTTAGATGCATCTTACATGAACCTATGCTTCTTGAAGGGGATTTACATGACTATAGCTACGATAATATGTGATAACATGCTTCCGTTGCTAATGTATATAAATTTAGAATTGTATATGCATACTAGTCACTAGAAATACTATAGAAATCTCAATATTTTGCTTCATCACCTACATCAAATTACTACTCATATAGCTAGTTGGCATTGTTGAAGTTAGTTCTATGTATAACTTTTGCTAAGTTGAACTATTGAGTCAGCACTTATTTGTTACTCATTATATCTATGTATAAATACCCACTTGATGTACAATTTTAATTCATTCACTGAAAGATTCAGTTTTTCTATTTTCATCACCGTTTATGTTATAAAGGAAATTTTTATCTAAACACATATAATCTTGCTTTACACTCAACTTAAACTTTAAATATGAATTGTCTTTTTTACCCTATTGTATAATTACCATGAAGTATTAATTGAAATCAACAATAAAACTAAAATTTATCAGTCAAAACATACTCAATAATCAAACTCTTACCGTCACACAATCTTTCTCTAATGTTCTATTTGGCTCAAACCCTCAAACACTTATTAAGTTCTTTTTTATGGATGGATGATGATTTTGACGTTCTAAATCCTCTAACTAAGGTTTGAATCGATTTATGCAAGTTTATTTATTTATTTATTGTTTCAGACTTCGAGTGATGACCAAATGGGCTGCTCAATCTAGGGGTGGGAAATTTTGCCATAAACCGATTTACCGACCGAACCATACCGGTCGGCTCATAATGGTATGGTATAGTTTTGGCATTTTTTCATAATTGGTTGGCATTTTACCAAACCGATAATTAATGACATGGCTTCGGTAATTGGTTTTGTATGTCGGCGGTATGCCATACCTACCAATATATATATATATATATATATATATATATATATATAATTTTTTTTTTTTCTATTTAGATATTTTAGGTATTTTTTACATGATTGACTCCTCAGTTTTAGGGTATAGAAAATAAATTACTCCTTAGTTTTAGGGTTTAAGAAATATATGCACGACTTCCTTCTCTCAATTTTCTTGTTCGCACACCTCCTTGTCCGACCAACTGCTCTCTGCTAGAAATCTTCTTCTTCATCAGCTTTCAAATTTAGGTAAAATTTGTGAAACCCCCTTCTTCTTCATAGTAGTGTTACATTCTAGTATTATTTTTAAATGAATTTTTTCTGTTGTATCTCCTTATTTGGAGTTAGAAGATGTACGCATATATCATAAGCCCTAACACCAATCGATAGATCATGTAGAAAAGTTGAACTATATTTTATCTTTTTAAGCAAAACTGAATAAAGGCACAATAAAGATATATTCTTGATTTGAGAAATTTGAGATTTTAGTAAAAAGCTTTTACGTTTACACAATATAAGATATATGTATATGTATATGATTCATGCCATAATAAATATAGAAAATATTATTAACAAAATTGATAGCATGATGATTACTGATACTATATATACATGTATGTACATACATATGATTTTGAATGTATACATGTTGCTTATGTTTAGGATAATGGAGTCTAGCCAATCAACCGCTAGTGCACAACATGGATTAACCCAAAATGAACCACACAATGCAACCGAACAAGCACCCTAATCTGAAAATCAAATTGAGCCCTTGGAACTGGAAGATACCGAGGAATAAGTGGAACATGTGAATAACAAGAGACCCAAACAGGGTTGTTCATTTGTTTGGGATCACATGGTTAGAACTAAAAAGGTTGTTGATGGGAAAGCTAAGTTCATTGCGATTTGCAACATTTGCAAAGCCCATGTTCCTGCACATCCAAATAAAAATGGTACCTCATCTTGTAGGAACCACC